ATGGTCCAAGGACAGAGGGATGTCATATGCTGTAAAGCCTCTGAGGCAAGTTGTGACTGAAATTAAAAATCCAAACAACACTTTAGCCGAACGTTAATTCTGTTCCTATTTTGTTTAATTTTTTTCTCTTAAAAAACCCCAAAAGAACCAATGAGAGTACTTAAAGTACCGGATTGATAAGCAGTTTCGGTAAGAGAAGTAGTGTCATTAAAATCTTAGCAATACCCGTCCCTACTCAAGACTTTAAAGATGAATTTCACACCACTGATGGAAGGCAGCAAATGAAAACAAAGTCGTATTAGAGGACCTGGCCAATCATAAAATCTGAATAAACTGCCAGTGATGTGTCATCAAAGCAGAGCTGTACTGTGATAGATGAAGAAGGACCAGACTGACGGGACGTTTTGTGGTAAAACTGTCAAAGCAAAGCATCCTCATTACATACCGCTTAATGCTGGTGTCATTCTATAGTGGTTATTTTACTTTTTCCACCTTAAATCAGTCATTTTGTCCACTGTGAAAAATCTGCGTTCTTCCCTCCGACACCTTCAACCTACCATCAGCATGGCCTCTTGCTCCTGACTAACGAGGCCATGTTTGTTTTCCAAAACTGAGCCTGATGACGAGGTTTACATGTTGTAGATGGAGACCATGACAGGGTGATGTTGTCTAGTGTGTGTGTGTGTGTGTGTGCAGCAGCAGCAGCAGCATCCTGCTGTCAGCAGAGTTGAACAGAAACAAAGAGCCTCTCTGCTGCAGATCCTCGTCAATCGATCGGCAGCCTCAGAGCCCCGACTGAGCTCTCCATGTTCAATACATCCACACACAGCAGGCCAATCTGTCAGCCAGCAGGCTCACACACACACACACACACACACACACACACACACACACACACACTCTTCTGCATCCACCCTCTCAAGTCATTTTAATCATGCTGTCACTCTTAGAGTCACATCTTTCTTAAAATGTGAGGGAGTCTGCACCAGAGTGAAACCCCTCTGTTCATTTTTCTCATGCAGCTCTGTGTGTTTAAAGGAGGTGGACACAATAATACGAACACTCATACATGACAGCCTCTCTTTTTAAGAAACGTGTTGTGGTATTTAAGCTGTTATTTGAATTAATTATCTGCTCTTTTTCCTTTGATAATTTGGAAAAATGAAAAACATTGTGTGCATGAAAAGTGTGGTATAAATTAGGTTTATCATAATGAAACATCAGCGGGGGCAGCTGTAGCTCAGCAGGTAGAGTGGACTGCAAGACACTGAACCCCAAACAGCTCCTTGTTGTGTCTTGTGTGTGTATGTGTATGTGTATGTGTATGTGTGTGAGAATTCGCTGCCCCCTAGAGGCCTGGAGAACTTCTGTTGTGTCGACTGGATATGAAGTGTTTTTATGCCTCTACACCAGCAATAGCCGTAGCTGGAGACGTTATGTTTTTAGGTTGTCTGTCTGTCTGTCTGTCCCATCCTTGTGAAAATGATATCTCAAGAATACTCGTACTTGTACTTGTCGTCCTCCGCTTATCGGGTCCGGGTCGTGGGGGCAGCATCCTCAGCAAAGAAGCCCAGACAGTCCTCTCCCCAGCCACTTCCGTCAGCTCTTCCGAGGGAACCCCGAGGCGTTCTCAGGCCATCCGGGCGATGTAATCCCTCCAGCGTGTCCTGGGGCGGCCCCAAGGTCTCCTCCCGGTTGGACATGCCCGAAACACCTCCCAAGGGAGGCGTCCGGAAGGCATCCTTACCAGATGCCCGAACCACCTCAACTGGCTCCTCTCGATGTGGAGGAGCAGCAGCTCTACTCCCAAGTCCCTCTGCAGAGGAAAGTCATTTCGGCCGCTTGTACTCACGATCTCATTCTTTCGGACACTACCCAGGGCTTGCGCCCATATGTGAGGGTTGGAATGTAGATCGACCGGTAAATCAAGAGCTTCGCTTTCTTCACCACAACGGACCGGTTAAGCGCCTGCATCACTGCAGACGCCGCCCCAGTCCGCCTGTCAATCTCCCGCTCCATCCTAATCTCACTTGTGAACAACATCCTGAGGTACTTAAACTCCTCCACCTGAGGCAGGACCTCCCCCCCGACCTGGAGTGGGCAGTCCACCCTTTTCCGGCTGAGGACCATGGCCTCAGACTTGGAGGTGCTGATTCTCATCCCAGCCGTCCAGGGACGAGATCCTCCCGTCACCCTCCGCCACTCGGCTGCGCCTAGAAATTCTCTCCATGAAAGTTATGAACAGAACCGGTGACAAAGGGCAGCCCTGGCGGAGTCCAACCCTCACCAGGAACAGGTCAGACTGCCGGCCACGCGAACCAGACTCACGCTCCTTCGGTACAGGGACTGGATGGCCCTTAGCAGAGGGCCACCAACCCCATATCCCGGAGCACCTCCACAGGATCTTTGAGGGTGAAGTGATTAGATTTTGGCAGTCAAAGGTCAAGGTCGCTGTGACCTTGCCTCCACCTCATTTTTGTGAACAGGGGAATTTCTTTAAATTTGGCACAAACACCCACTTGGACTCAGCACTTAACTGATTATATTATGGTGGTCAAAGATCAAGGTCGCTGTGGCCTTGTGTCTGTCTTGATTCTGTGAATGTGATATCTAAAGAATGCCTTGAGGGAATTTAGTCCAATTTGGCACAAACACCCACTTTGACTCAATGATGAAGTGTTTAGAATTTGGTGGTGGAAGGTTAAAGGTCACTGTGACCTCAGAAAGCATGATTTTGGTCATGATTCAGGAATTCATATTCTAATTATGACAAAATTTCACGTAAGTGTCTAACAGGATTAAATGATGAAATGATGACATTTTATATCCAAAAGGCCAAAGGTCAACCTCACTGCGACATCATAATGTTCTATACAAACACTTTTTCGGCCATTACTCATCATCATATCTGTGACAGTTGGTCCGATACTGAGTTAGTGACACCCATGCTGATCGTTTAGATCTTCTGTGCTGCTGAGTTAAAGGTGTGTGTGAAGCATCCGTGTCTTGTGTAGCCTTTTCACAGCAACATCCACATTTGAAGCATTATTGACTGTGATTGCTACATTGCTTATGTTTTACTGACTTACTGTAAGTGAAAATGTGTCTGGATGGATTATGTATGTTTTATTATATTTACCTTTTAAAAAGATATCATAACTTTTATTATTGGACTTGAGTGATGTCACCCAGCTACCCTTTTCATGTCGACTTAGAGTCTGCACACAGGGTTTTAATGACTTCAGGTAAAAGTTTTGCAGCTTGCAGGATGGTGGTTACATTTCCTGTCATTTGCTGTGGATTAATTTCATTCCTCTTGATAGTGCTGAGCTTTTTCCTCTATTACATGACAAAATTACACTTGATGAATCATGAAAATGGCTCCCCTGATGAAAGGCAGCCATGAATAATCCCTGCGGCTCTTTGATATTTGATGTTCCGGCTGTTACTGTCTCGTCCGCTCCAAACTCGCTCTCCGCTGCAGAATGAACGCTGTCATGCGAGATGGCATTAAACGCATCCCCTGTAATGATGATAATAATAATAATAATATCCTAAGATGATAATGTGTGGCTGTGTTTCCATTTGGCCGATAAGCTCCAGGAGTCTCTTCACACACTCAGCTGTGTCTGATAGGAAAGTGTGTGAGCCGTGACGTGTGTTGATGGTAGAAACGGTGTCATCAGAGTTAACGGCTCGCCGGCGCTCGCCGGAACAGAAGCTGATGTGAGCCGGAGGTTGTTTTGGAAATGAAATCAAGTCGCTGTTCTGGAAAGAAGAGTGAAAATAATAATAATGAAAGCTGATTATGTTCTTCAAGGATGAAAAATATGAATATACAAAGTTCCACAGTTGGTAAAGCAGAAACAGCGTGGCCAAGACACACAGGTTAAATTAAAAAGAGCTCTTTTAAATGTTAGAGGAGGAGAGAGTCGTTATAGATGAGCCAGGTGCAAAGTGTCACAGCTGAATAATGATACCATTTATTTCAAGTTTGTTTCAGTTACAGTGTATTGTGAATGTCACTGGGTTATAATTATTTATACATTTTCCCCAATTAAATATAATAGTTTCACTTTTTGTTTTGTGTATTTGTGAAAGGAAGTGAAGCATTGTCAGGAACAACAGAACAAAGTCACAGCCTGGATTCATTTTCTTGATGTTTAATTAGTGAATGAAGATTTATCCACCCATCCATATTTATCCACTTATCAAGGGCCGGGTCGCGGGGGCAGCAAGCTTAACAAAGCTCCCCAGACGTCCCTCTCCTCAGCAACACTTTCCAGCTCCTCCTGGAGGACCCCGAGGCGTTCCCAGACCAGATGAGATACATAAACTCTCCAGCGTGTTGTGGGTTTGCCCCGGGGCCTCCTACCTGTTGGACGTATCCGGAGCACCTCTAATTGGACACGCCCTGGAGGCATCTTAATCAGATGCCCGAACCACCTCAACTGACCCCTCTCGACACGAAGGAGCAGCGGCTCTACTCCGAGCTCCCTCTGGATATCTAAGCTCCTCCTATCTCTAAGGCTGAGCCCAGACACCCCACGGAGGAAACTCACTTTGGCCGCTTGTTTCCGCAGTCTCATTCTTTCGGTCACTACCCAAAGCTCATGAACAAAGGTGAAGGATCGGATGTGGATGGACCAGTGAATCAAGAGCTTTGCCTTCCGGCTCAGCTCCACCTTTACAACGACAGCCCCATGCAGTGCCCGCATCACTGCAGACGCTGTGCCAAACCACCTGTCCAACTCACGCTCCGTTTTACCCTCACTCGAGAACAAGACCCCGAGATATTTGACTCCTTCGCTGGGGGCAGTCCACTGTTTTCCAACTGAGAATAAACCCCTGAAGTAGTAAATAAGGGTATTAGAGTTAATGGTTCTGCATCATTGAGGTTTAAGAAGCACATTAAATGTATTTCTTTCATCACAAAACGACTGACGATGCTATAATTACAAATAGTGTTTCTTATTCTTTGTTGATGTGATTTGTTACAGATGATGAGGGTTCAGGCTCTGACATCGGGAAGAAGTTCACCAAGTGCAGCACATGTAAATATGGCGCAGAATGTGATGAAGACTCAGAGGATGTCTGGTGAGTGTTGGACTTTGAGGGCAGGATACTGTCTGTGTGTGAAGGTCTGTTTCAGAGATCAACTAAAACTTTCTTGTATGAACAAAAATATAAAATGTTTGATTTATTTGCACAAGTGAATGTCAGACTCATGACACACAGATACAGTGGGAAGTGATGTGCAGGTGAGGAAATAACGTTTAAAGTGTTATTTTAACATGTTATGAAGGACTTTAGGGAAGTTGTCATTTTCTTCCAGATGAAAACTGCACTTCCAGAAGTTGTGATCACTCTTTGTTGTTGAAAATAGACTCTGATGATGAGATGTTTGGGAAGATGAAGATTATTTCACTGTCTGTGAGTGACTGTGTGAATTAATTTGAAAATATGAATCCTACGCCTCCGAAAAAGGACTTCAAAATTATGAGCTTGATCTCTCTACGCAGTCTGTGGTAAATTAATGAGCTGTGTCTTCATTTAGAAGTCTCTAAAATGTGCTTCAGCTAATGATTTAGTGCTGATGAGAGCTGCTGTGGCAAAAACATGCTCAGGCTCCAGACTGCAGACAGAAACATTCATTTTCCTGAGAGAAACACTCCTGACACACGTCTCCTTCTTCTCCAGGTGCATATGTAACATCGACTGCAGCGGACACAATGAAAACCCGGTGTGTGCCACTGACGGGAACTCCTACAACAACCCCTGTCTGGTCCGAGAGGCGTCATGTATGAAGCAGGAGCAGATCGATGTCAAACACCTGGGCAGGTGCCCCGGTGAGTCTGAGCCTTGTGCAGTATGGGATAGAAAGCTTCTCTACACTCATCATGACTGTGATGACGTGTGTGTGCAGGTTAAAGCTGTTTGGGGTGACATTTTGTGTTAAAGCTTCTCTTATCTCCCTAAGTCACAGAATAAGGCTATGATATATAGAAAACTGACACCTCTTTGCTAGCTGACCCCACAGCAGGCCTGATAAGCTTCAGATTTCTGCACATGTTGAAATGAGTGAACGCAGGTTGTCTGTGAATGAATATGTTCAGATACTGTGCAGTACATTCAATATGAGCAGTATGAGCATAGTAGGCAATGCAGGTAAGTACAAGATATATAGTGCAGCTGTATTTATAAGTAATGCTTCTAGTAAGATATACTTAAATGATGTATGACCCATGTGGAGAATTTTTTATTTAGAACTGCATCATTCCTGTACTGCAGTGTACAGTGAGTTATTCTGGAGGGATGTCTGTTATTTTGTTCACTTCAGCTGCTTAGCCTACACACTGGAGCCACACAAGCAAGACACAGATAACATACTGGTCTCCAAACTAGAGGTGGAGGGGATGGTAGATGGTGTGACACCTCACCAAGATACCTGCCAAGCCGCACACCACTGTTTCAGACAACAAACAACAAAGATGGTTGTTTTTTCTATGAGTCATCGCTGTGTTTCCAGCCCAGATAGTGCAACAAAAAAATGATTATTTTTGCCTCGACAATCGCTGCATTTTTAGCAAAGATAATGCTGGAAAAGTGATTGTTTTTACCAAGACATCACTGCGTGTCCAGCAGCAATGATGTCATAAAAAGTGGTTGTTTTTTACAGAGGCATCACTGCATTTCTAGCTGAGATAGTGCCACAAACAGAAATTGTCTTTTATCAAGACAAAACTGTGTTTCCAGCTGAGATATTACTATGAAAAGAGGTCGTTTTTTACTGACATCGTTGCATTTCCAGCAGCGATGATGTCATAAAAAGTGGTTGTTTTTTTATCAAGACAGTGCTGTGTTTTTAGCAAAGATAATGCAATGAAAAGTTGTGTTTTTTACTGGAACATCACTGCGGTTCTTGCTGAGAAAAAAGCAGTTGTTTTTTACTGAGACATTGCTGCCTTTCCTGCCAGTATTGTGCTGCATGAACAGGGTATTTTAAGCCAAACATGAGCGTTTCCTAACCATAACCAAATAGTTTTTGTGACTAAACCTAATCTCAACCCCACAGTGCCAACATTTATTCTGGTGATTGGGCTGAACAAATAGGAGGAAATAGTGCATTTGTTGGGGACTATATTCAGCAGTGGATTAATCCACATTTGGTGCTCTAGTGAGTGTTTGTGTCAGCAGGACAGTGTGTGTGGGATTGAGTCAAAATAAACCACAGTGTGTGTGTTCATGGTGATGAAGGAACATGTCACCCAGTGACACAGTGTGAATCACTGATGTGTTTTTAACAGTAATGGAGCTGTGTGGCACAGAGGAAGAAGATACACCAGGCTGCAGATACTTGATACTAGATTCATTGTTAGTTTGGATTTGCATGTGGGATTTGTTGACTTCACAGAAATATAAAATATCACCAGACCTTAAATTGTTGGTGTCTGATCTCCAACATGGCGGTGCGTCTCTACACTCAGTGATCACGCTGTTTACTGACGTGCATGAGCGATTGGGTGGAGGCAGAGGATTTATTGCGCCACGTGAGGCTTCGTGGCGGCCGGCAGGAAGCGCCATGTGAAGCTCTGATGCCAACAATACTGTTCAGCCTGTGAGGAGAGTTGAATTTAAGAATATTCATGAAGAAAATCAGGTGTTGTGTGAGCAAGGAGGCTTTCTGCAGCAGGTCATGTGATGATGGGAACTTGTGTGTTCGGTGCTGAACAGGCTGCAAAATGAGGCATTCAGTGTCACATAAAAACTTGATTTGAGTTATTTTTCTACCTTTCTTCTCACTTTACCATCTTTACTTCGAGCAGTATTTTCCCACATAAACTTAAGCCGCAGTAAACTTGACATGTTCGCAGCTAAATGAAGCTGTTACTGACAGTAAACACATTCTCTGGCACTTTCGTGTTATTCTGTGAACAGTTTGATTCCTGTGGATTTAGCCTGCAGCTCTAATGCACTCACAGAGTCGACCTTCGACCCCGGCTGGAGTGTGTCTGAGAGCCTCCTCAGTTTGCGTTCAGACAGATAAATCTGCCCGCTGATGCCTCCGTCACTGTTTTATTGAATCCAAATTGGAAAATCCCATCATCCAGGCTTGTTGAGCTTCAGAAAATGGCCGCCATAACCTCGGTGCATTATGAAAGAGGCCCATTCCGCACCAATAAACCGCCCCGTAAATGAAAAGCATTTTATGGACCCTGAGAGACTCTGAGAGGTTCACTGTCTCGCTGATCCGCAGATGAAAGACGAGACTTTCTCTGATTCTTTTTCAGTAAAAATGAAAACAGTTTGCAGGTTTGAGTCTTTTATTTACAGATTTACAGACTTTGTACTTCCTTCACTACGTTTCAGAGAGAAATATAAAACTTTCACTGCTCAACATTTATCTGACACTCAGTTTTTACCTTCTGTCATTCTTTGTTCACATCACACCATCCCTATTTTTCTATCATTCCTTTAGGCTGTTTGTTTTTCTTTCCTTCACTCTTCCACTTCACTGTCACGCGTTCTTCCTCCTTTCTTTTCTTCCTTTTTTATTTCTTCTGTTTCTTCCTTTTGATTTTAATATGTACCTTCTTCGTTTTCTCCTCTCTTCTTTCCTTCCTTATGTTGTTTCTTCTTTCCTTCTTTTCCCCTTAATTCTTTCCTTATTTCTTTCTTTTCTACTTTTCTTTAGTCATTCCCTCTCTCTTTCAGTCCTTTTTAATAATTGTCTCTCTTTCCTCATTTATGTCCTTTCTTTTATTTTATTTTTAATTCTCTCTACTTTTTTCTTCTGTCCTTTTCCCCAATTTCTTTTCTTCTGATTCTTCTTTTTTCTAATTTAATCTTTTCCATCCTCCTGTTTTTCCTTTCCTCTTTGTTTCCTTCCATTCTTTCTCTCTGTAACTATTTCCTAATTCCCTTTCTTCATTTTTCTCTTCTTTCTTTTCTCTTTGCTCATTTCTTTTCTTTCTTTTTTCTTGTTTCTTACTTTAAATTTTAATGTCTACCTTCTTCTTTTTCCTTTCTTCTTTCCTTTGTTTCTTCTTTCCTTCTTTCCTTCTTTTTCCTTTATAACTCTTTTGTTATTTCCTTTCTTCATTTTTCTCGCCTTTGCTAATTTCTTTTCTTCTTTTTTTAACTTATTTTTATTCTCTCTATTCTTTTTGTCCTTTTCCCCATTGTCCTTTCTTATGTTTTTTGTTTTCAATGTTTTTCTCTTTTCCTTCCGTGTTTCCTTCCTCCTTTTTTCACCCTTTCCTTATGTTAGCCCCTTTTACACTGCCTCTTCAAAGCAGGAACATTGCAACGTTATGTTGCTGTATAAAAGGAACAATCGCAGAGTGGACAGACAGAGTTGTCTCAAAGTTAAGCCGGCAGCGGAGGTAGGGACAGTGCAGAAGTGATGTCTGTATGAAAGGGTTAGCCGGCAGGGCGGGACCATGGGACGTGTTATGTGTGCGACCCACCGCGGGAGATTAAAAAGCAGCTGTTAGCAGTTAGCAGCTAACTCAAAGAAGAGCAGCAGTCCAAAATGTCCACAAACAGTGAAAGCAGTGCGGTCCAGGAGCTCCTTATCCTCCAAGGGGAGGACGAGATCAGCCGCCATATAACAGGGACAGTAAATGATTGTTAGTGACATGTTGTTACCGACACACTGTCTTAAATCACACACTGGAGCAACACGATGCCGCCATTGTTTGATTCTGTGTAAAAATGCAGAGGCGGCGTAAAGAAGGGACTTTGTTGCAGCTCTATAGCGCCACCTTTGTGTTGTTTCTTCTGCTCTTTCTCTCCTTATGTCTTTAGTGTTATTTTCTTCCTTCTTTCCTTTAGTCTGTCCTTCTCTCCTACCTCTTACTAATTCTTGTCCTTCAGTTTATACTTCTCTCTTTCTTTTCTTCTCCCCATGTTCTTTCCTCTTCTTCCCTTTCTGTCTTTTTATGTAAATGTCTCTTTCTTCTGTCCTTTTTATCTATTTATTGCCTTCCTTTTTAATTTTCCTCTTTTCACTCTGCTTGTCTTTCTTTGTCTTTCTTTCTTCTTACCTCTTTTTAGCTTGTCCTCTTTCCTTCGTCTTCTTCTTTTGCATTTCTTGTATTGCCTTCCTTCTTTTCTCTTTCCTTGTGTCCTTTGTTCCGACCTATTTTTCTCTTTCTCTGTCACCTTCTGTCCTTCAATCCTTTTATCTTAGAATTCTTTCTTTCTTTCTTTCTTTCTTTATTTCGTTCTTCCAACTTTCCTCCCAGGTCTTCCTTTTTCATGCTTTCAATATTTTTTCCTACTGTCTTCCATTTTTTGTCTTTCCCATTCTTTCCTGCTTTCTTTTATCCCTATACTTTCTTACATCTGTCATTCATCTTTTCCTGATTTCTCTCTCTTTATATCTGCCTGTCTCTCTCGTTCTTCTTTTTCATTTATTTCCTAGTGTTCTTTTTTCTTTCGCTGATCTTAAATCACGAAGTTTCCCCAAAACTAGAAGATTTTCACCCAACAGCAAAAAAAACCTCAACTTCTCTCTGAGAAATGACATTTTTAATATTTAAAGACTCGCTACACCTCAGTCACATGTACAGAAAGTCTCTTTCTCATATGCATATATTATTGAGTTTAAATCTTAGCAGATAATTGTCTCTGAATCACATATTTTCTCCTCACTGCTGCTGTTTAATTCCTCCACCTCCAACATTATTTAAGTGCTGCAGACGGAGATCATTATTCCACATTAAGTTGCTGATGTAGTAAAATGCAGGATTGATGTTGTTTCACTCTCGCTGAACACTGCTGACTGCACAACTGTGACCGTTTCATCTCTGCCATAAATCAGCCTCATTATTGAAACCGTGTC